CCTGTTGCTGTAGTCAATTCCAAATCACAGCAACCCTGTATAGGGTTTCTGAGAAGCAGCTGAGGGGTTTGAACTGCAAACCTTGTGGTTCAAAGTCCAGTTCTTATCTTACAGGTCCACGCCAGGAGTCCATAACAGGCTTATAGAACAGAGTAGAACTGCCCCATAGGGTTTCCAAGGCTGTAATCTTGACAAGGGCAGATTACCACCTCTGTCTCCCAGGAAGCGGCTGGTGGCTTGGCACCACTGACCTCTAGGTTTGCAGTTAAGCACGTAACCACTGTACTACAATAGGAATAGCACAAGGAAAAGTTCATGGTCCCACAGGAACTTCATGTCCAAATGAGATCATGCCAACAAAAATGGTCTAAAAGTGATTGGAACAACAGGTGCAAAAACGCACAAAGGAAGAAAATGTCTAGGAGTCCACACCAACCAGAGTCAATTGCTATAGTCACTGTTAAGTTAGAGTGGACTCAATGGAGCTGAGTTTAGGAGGACATACTCTGCCAACCAGTACCGACTGCTTTGGTCTGGGGTGGGTTATAGCTAATTCAGCTGAGATAGTACTCAGCAGATCTCCAGGGCCAAGAGCCATCTGGCTCAGCGACCTCTCTTGTCTGAATTAGAAATAGGCATTTCTATTCCTTAAGACCTCTCATAAAATGGTCCTGATAGATGCGGGTAAGTCAAAAAGGATTATTAGAAATCATAGAAACCTTTATTAAATAAAAATGTCAAAATGTGAAGCTATTGTTTCTCAACATATCCTCGATCTAGGTCTATATGTTTTTGAAGGCAGTGTTTCTCTGTCTCTCTAACCCTTTCTTAAAGAATTCTGCACTCTGATTCATATCACGTAAAAATGGCAGTTTTCTCATCCTTGAGGGACACAGAATCTGTTCCTTTTAACTGTTCTTTGAATTTGCATGACAGGGGAGGTTCTGAAGCGCAAAGATCAGGGCTATAGTGTGAATGGGACAAGGTTTCCCGGTGAAATTCTCACAGGAGAATAAGCAATTGCATTGTTTGATGGGGAAAAAA